GGCAGCGCCCAGCACAGCCGGCAGGGTCAATATTTAATCCTCCCCTATTTCCTTCCCCAGCCCAAACTTCCTTGTTAATTTTTTCTTTTTTTTTTCTTTTTTTTTTTTTTCTTCATCCTCTTGGCCTAATTTTAAAACTCTAGCTGTCATTTTCCCGTCTTCTGGTATAACCCCTCTTCACACCCCTAATTTCACTTCTCTTCCCAATAAGTTGCTACCTGCCCCTGGGACTAATAAAACATCTCCCATCCAAATTTTAGTTTCCCCCTCAATTACCACATCTTTAATGACAGGAACTGTGAAACTCTTTCCTTTTGTTTCTGTTACTTTTATAGTGCCTTTGCTTACACTATAACCTTTTGGAATATTTAACAGGCAGGTTCTTTCTGCCCCTGTGTCTGCTACAAATTCCAATTCTTCTTCTTGGGGACCCACTTTCAAAGTTATCACAGGCTCCAGATGGTATTTGTCCCCTAAAAAATAGAGCCTATGACTTCCCTATTCCTCCTCTGTGCCCATCTCTTTAAAGATTTTCAGATCTTTTGCCTGCTTAGGACAATTTTCATATTTCTCTTAAATCTGTCTAACCATTCAGTTGGAGTTTCTTCTTTTCCCTCTTAAAAGCTGTCCCTTAAAACCTTTTTTTGCATTTCGCCTTTGATATGCTGCCTCATTTATTTCCTTGATTATGAAATTATGATAATTATTCATGTGTTTCTTCCCCTCATCATTTTGATTCCCCTCCTCCTCATCATTTTGACCCCAATCAGTAGGTGTCATTGGCATTTTCTAATCTCCTGGTGGGACGTGCTGGTTTTCCCTTAGTGTCGGAGGAAGGGGGGTGAGGGGAGGGATTCGGGCCAAAACTTGGTCCTCCAAGGCGCAGGCGGGGCCCGCTGCCGGAACCACCAGAGGGGATCATCCGGTGGAGACTGAGCTGGAGAGTGGATAGCCCCCACATGGCTTAATGGCGGCTGATCCAGCAGCTCCCAGCAGAGACAAAGCAGGCAGGAGACCCGGGCAGCAGCGGCAGCGCCCAGCACAGCCGGCACGGGCAGGGCAGCCGGGGATGGGACAGACGGGACCCCCCTCGGTGCGGTTGGTGTGGTGACCATGGACCACGCGGCAGGAGAGACCCCCACCTCCCCCTGGCACAGCCGGCGGAGCGGCTACGGCCAGGCGGCTGGGACTGGGGCAGACGGACTCACTGGCGGGGCCGGAGCTGGCACAGGGGCTGGGGAAGTGCAGCCACGAACGGGTGGGGGAACAAACGGGAAAAGAGGAGGCAATATTTTGTTCCCAACCCTTTTCTTTCACCCTCTTTTTTTTCCTTTCTTTTTCTTTTTTTTTTTTTATTGCTTTGTCTCAAGGGGGTTTTGATATTTTAAAGATTTTATTTTCTTATGATATCTCTCACCCAGCATACAGCATATTCTTTTTCTTCTGGATTAAACAGTTTTTTACAAATAAATCCAGAGCCTGACAAATCCAAACTTCTACTTGGATACTTTGAAATGGTCGAAGAGCTAACTCACGACGTCCTAATGTTGTTTTTCTCATCACCTTTTTATTTATCCTTTGGCAAATTATACATCTTTCAGTTACTTGCTTTGCTACTCCAAAAATCCCCATGCACCCATAGTTCCTTAAAAAAATGATCACACAAAGCTTCAGTACCCCAGTGGGTTTTCTGGTGCATGTCTTCTAATATTCCCTAGTAAGCATTTTATTAACTAATTGTCTTCCATCAGGAAGTTTCCATTCCACTGATTCATCTTGTTCACCTCCTATCTTGTTTAATTCTTCTTTCTCTGCTTCCCTAAACTTTGGAATTTCCAATTTTTCTTCATTTGGAGTTAATGTTAACATAACTCTTTCAGCTCCATTTTCTGCTGCATCTTTAGATTCCTGATCTGCCAAATTATTTCCTCTTATTTCTGGGATCTTTACTTTTGATGTCCCTTAATATGTACTATAGCTATCTCTTTTAGGTAATTTTAATGCCTTTAAAACCTCTAAAATAAGTTCCTCATGTACTAATCCTTTTCCTCTTGAATTAAGTAATCACCCTTTTAAAATTTTTCTAAAGGTACGTACTGCTCTAAAGGCATACCTTGAATCAGTATATATAGCTCCCTTCTTTTGTGCTAAATATTCTAGTGCTCTTTTTAAAGTATATAATTCACAAGTTTGAGCTTTGTAGTTTAAGGTTATGTCGTGGTTTGACCAGGACGCACTGTGCCAGGGTCAATCCATGACAGGTTAATTTCCCTTTTTCCATAGTTTGCATGTTTTTCCCATCAACTCCTGCATACCATGTATTTTATTTCTTTTGCAAGGAGTTGTATTTCTGTTAGCTAACATAACTTCCAAAGGGCTATTTTGAGGTATCTCTGCTAGTATGCTTTTATTCCCCCTTTTTTTCCTGTATCCAGCTTACTGGTTTTCTGTTCCATTTTCATGATCTTATCTATTCATCCCCTGCCTCTCTTTCTCACTTTCACTAACATCTTAAATGCCACTTTTCTTTCAGCTACACACACACAAAAATAAAAACCTTTTTCACACTACGTTTCAATACAATACACCTCTCTCCAAGGAGATATAGTGAAGCTTAAAATACACAGTCCACGTTACATATACTTTCATTCATCTATATTCACTCACTTTTATTTCTCATTCACTTTCACATCCTCAGGACATGAAGTGTATCCCTGTCAGCAGAAAATCACAGGTCCCTGTGGCCCCACCCTTGCCTTGGGGTTGGCCCCCGGGTTTCAGTATTGCTGGGCCTCCTGGAAGGGCCCTGACTATAGTCACCTCTGGTGCCAGTTCACCTGTGAGGCTGTCTGCGTGTCACTCACACTCTTTAGCCATGGCCCCCTCCATATGCTGGGAGAACAATGGCCTGTTTGCAGGTCATCTACACCTTATGCCACAGCTCCCACCTGCCCAGGGGAAAAATGGCCTCTTTGCAGGTCTCTTACACCTCTTTCCACAGCCCCCCCCCCCTTCCCACCCACCTGGGAAGTTGAGGCTGATTTTGTGTTTGACTCACTCTCACACACAAAACAAGACAACAATAAGGTACCTTTTACTTTCAAATCACCTATTACTAGTTTAGGTCTTACTGGCCAGCCCCGGTGCTCTTGGATATCCCTCAACCCAGCTGTGTTGTCCAACCCCAGATGCTCTTGGGCATATCCTCAATCCGGCAGAATTTTGCTCAACCCTGGATGCTCTTGGAATGTAAATCCCTCAACCCAGCAGGTTTTTAGGGGCCCTTTTTGTCCCGTTTCCTAGTGGATTGGGCTAGGAAACTGCTCATTTCCTCCAAGGGGTCCAGCCCCTCCCTGAGACACAGTCCCAGTTACCCCGGGGGAATCTCTCATTCCTTTTATCTCTCGCTTCATCTCTTTACTGGCTGCTTTTCTCACGAAAAGTTGAAAACGCAGCATCGGAAACTCATCACTCGGCAGGTCTGGGATAACCAGCCCGCCTCTCATTCACACACATTCATCCCCCTGTACCTGCCCCTGAAAAGTACTTACCAATCCTTTTTCCTTTCCAGGTTCTTCGTGCACGCTACTACTCTTAGAGGGCTAATTACCGCGGTTTTAGGGAGCCTTTTTCTCTTTTCTTTGTTTTATTGTGCAGGGGGAAGTGCTGCCGGGACGGACGCAGGCACAGCTGGTCCCACAGGCAGCTGGGGGGTTGGCATTACCGTGGAAACTGCAGCTGGAAAGGAGGGAGGGAACACAGGGTACGCGGAGGTTGCGGGCTCGGGGAAGGGGGGCGGCACTGGGACTGCAGGAGGCTCTGCCACGGGGGAGGGGGGGGCCTGGGACTGCAGAAACT